CTCTCTCTCCCTCTCTCCCTTTTTCTCTGCATCCCTGGGCGGCAAGGGCGGCTTTAGCAGCATCCGCATCAAGCCCTGAATCGACTGCGCTCCCAAACAATCGCTCGCTAGGCCCGTGACAAGAACTACACGCACGACCCTCGCCGAATAGAAAAAAACACATCTAAATGAATATACACAGCAGCGTCATTGACATTGACGACAGTGGCTTTGATTTACCGATTGTAGCATCCTGGCGGTCCATCATCAAAGGCTACTCACTATTTTGCAGCTCGGCGGTTTTGTAAGATGGCAGCCTCAATAAACACTATTGTCACAAGACAGCGGCGTCAGTCCTGGTCGGCCGGGCTCTGTATTATTCTGCGGTGATACCGTGGGTCGGTAATATTAGGGATGCTGCTGTCTTCGACCGCTGTCAGCGTCGGATGCTGATGATGGAGTCGGTCGGTTGATACGCGCATCAGCTGAGAGACACACACCCACCTCTGGTCCCGCCCCTCCGGCTGCATGATACAAACGCCCCCTTTTGGCATTAATCCAGTGCTCTCCCTCGGGAAAAGCCTATAGAGTCATATACTGTGTCCCCCCCCCCCCCCGGATGGATGGATGGTGGGTGAGATGCTGGGTGGAAACCGTAGTGAGGCTGGATGCGTCACCAGATAATGCTTAGTTTCATTAATGCATTTTAACCTCCAGCATGTTAATCACTCAGAAATTATTATTATTTTAGAAAATAAATGTTTTGTATCAATGGTCATGTTCCATTCTTACAGTGTATTTGCTGTTTTGTATGTATTTGTTTGCATCCCACCCATACAAAAAAAAGAAGCATGACATCTTCAACCATTTTTTAAGAAATGAAAAATAAATAAGATTAAAAAAAAACCAATACATTCTCCTAACCTAAACCCACATTGATTGATTTTGGCCAATTGGAAGCAGCATAACAAGCTATTTATCACCACATAAAGTTTGGAGTTTTCTGTAATAATAGAAACTCCAAAAATCCTGTTTTGGTTTTCCATCAACTCCTTCATTAGATAAATATCTGTCTCTTTAGATGCTAAATTCTCCACTTTGTTCATCAGCTAGTTGCTAACTTTGCTTGTCTGCTGTTTGGTGCTCGGGAAGGTGTATTATACAGATATTTAATGTTATAAATAAGTTTGTGTGTGTCTGTAAACAATGCTTTTGAGAGCAGTGAGATTGAATCAAAACATACGAGCTGTAAAACCCAAAACAATGAGTTTGATTGATTAGATGTTAGACATAATCATTTGTTCATATAGTAATATTGACTAGAGAAAAACAAAACATTTTTTAATACATTTGCTTACAGTACATATTCTGGAAGTTTTCTGTCAGAAGAACTAAGTGAGTTGAAGTAACAAGTTCAACAGAGGGATTTTGTTCTAGTTTCAAAGCAAAATATCAGCACAGAATCACAATTGTTCTGAATGAAATAACCGCAGGTGAACTGTATCACTACAGAATCTCCTGGGAGGCTTTCCACTACACCTGCCCCCACTGGACCCCACTGGACCCCACAGTATTTACTGTAAGAACTACATAGGAGCCCTGAGTACTCCAGTAATTTAGTATTGCACTCCTAAGGTTTGGGTGACTTGTGAGTGAACAGATTTGGCAAATGGTAAATGTCCTGTTTTTTCAAACTCCATATAATATAGGAATTATAAAGTATGTTTTGATTAAAATTGTTTATTTTCTGTTACTTTCTTGTTTTGTATGATACTGTGGTCACACACACAAGTTGCAAAAGAGTCCTGTATCTCCATATTAGGCAGGTTGTCCTTGTTTTGTGTAAAAGAAGTATCCCTCTGCTCTGTAACAGATGTGTCAGTCCTCAGTTGGGTTGTGTTGCACGTTGTGACTGCTTGTCATCTTTACTTTGCATTTCCTCGATGCCTGCTGTTATTTCCCTATGCTGTTATATTTCTGTTTGACCTGACCTTGTGTTAGATAGCAGTTTCCTTTCCCCTGTGTCTCTTTTTCCCTTCATAGATCAATACTTGTTGGTATTTGGAACAATGCACTCTGAAGATTTACCATATTCTTTTTATTTTACTCAGTGTTTTTTATCCTGTGTGCAGCCCTTCATCCTTGAGCTCCTTTTCCTGATAATTTTAAATGTTTAATTATGGGTTTGTGTCTTCTTGGCAGTAACATCTAACCTTTTCTGAATTTTCTTGGTTGAGATGTTTCTCCTCCTCTTGGCAACATTTCCTGCTATGTTAAACCACCACAACTGGACAAGATGACACCAAAATTAAAACTACTTGACGGCACATCTGTTATGGTTGTTGTATCCTCTCCTGTTATCTCTTTTGCTACAGGTATTTGGAGTTTTTAGTCACCGTTTTCTTTCCTGCTGATTTGGCGAGGGAAATGAGCACTAGTGTGCCCCTGCAGAATGGGAGGAACATCTAAGGCACAAAGCAAACATACAAATACAAAGCACGCTCAATACCAGAAGTTTATCTACTTAATTTAATTCACAAGTGATCACTAACTAACTAACTAACTAACTAACTAACTAACATCTGTTTCGGTTTTTCGACTTCACAGAGGACAGTTATTACTGTGCAGTGGTGTCATATAAAAATATGAAGGACTTAAGTCTTTCCATCTCAATTGTACTTCATACTTCTACTCCACAACATGTCAGAGGGAAACATTTTACTCCATTACAATTATTTGACAGCTCTAGTCACTGATTACCTCTACAAGTTAAGATTTTTGCATATAAAACATATGAAAATGTACAAGTACAGCTGAAACAATTAGTCGACTGATAGAAAATTAATTGGCAGCTATATGGAGAATTGTTTCAGTAATTTTTCATGCCAAAACATTTCATGGTTGCAGGTACACAAATGTGAGTATTTGTTGCTTTTCCTTTTAATTATTTTAATTATCCATATGTATGTATGTTTTATGTTTTTAAATATTTTTAAAAGTATGTATATGGGTAGTGTGTCCACAGCTTCATTTTCATTTGAATTTTTTATTTTCAGTGTAGCCTTTATATACTATTAAACTAATTAATTATTAAATCTCTAAAGAGAAGGCCCTTTTTCTGTGACATTTGCTTGACTGTCCATGAGGGGGCAGCCAATACTGGGACTCTCACTGCTGCAATACTGCTGCAAGCATGCTGGGGGAAGTCAGTAGCTTCATCTTCCAAGTCTTCAGGGAATTTCTGCCTCCCTTTGGAGACTATTTCTAACACACAGCCCAGCAAAATTGGACCCCAGCTCTTTGTTCTCCCTCTTTATTTTGTGTCTGTCTGCTAAGGCAAGGGGAGTCACAATTTTATAACCTTTGTAACATACATTTTGTTTATTATTAGAATATAATGGAGTATATTAAGAGTATAATGGAGTATATTAAGTATAGTATAAAGTATTTTTAGCAACTCTTTATGGAGAATTACCTCTTTCAGACTGTTAATATATTGTACGACAGGACAGATGTGCTAATGTATAAATATAATTTTAATGTTGTAGCTGGTGCAGATGGAGTTAATGCATAAATTGTATCTGTTATTAATGCTAAAGAATCATAATTAAACAATGCTGTTAACCTATATGAGGTTGTATGTGGGCCATAAGAGTTGCACATTTGATATAAGAGGCCACTATTAGTACAGTGACATAAAATGGCGTTGTAGGCCTCTCTCACAAGGCCCTGTAGAGCATGTGATGGTGGATCGGCCGTTAATGGCACATCATTAGATTTCTGGTCCTTTAAGACTGTGAGACATAACTAATGATATCACTGTGTGCTGAGAAAGGTTACCTGTAGTTGTCTATATTTACTTTAAGTAATGATTAAAGAATGCCTGTATTCAGAGAAACTTGCTAATTGTACTGTGAAGTCTTTTCATTGTTTTCCATTATACTTTAAAAGCCACAGATAGTGTCACATGCCTCGAAAAAAAACCTTTCATCAAGGAGCTATTGTACCCAGGGGATTTTCAAAAATTTCTATAAGCATGCAGTTCATGTCACAAGCTGTTTTAATTGATTATGTTAGTCATCTAACACACACAAGGTAGACTATTTAACTAATTAATTAAATTAAACATAGCCAGGTAGCGATGTTCACTCATATCAATCAAGGAATGCACGAAGGCTGCTGTACAAGCTCCATTAAGCCTGGACTAAAAAACTTTCTTTATCTTGTTTACTTTAATTAGATTATAATTTGTAATACATCCTTCTTCTTCCTTTCTGTCTGTTGTCTGAAATAACACTGTGGATTTTTGTTTTCGTGTGCAATGTATTATAATTAAAACATTTTCTGTGCATGAAGGGATCTCATCTGGTCCCCACATCTTAAAATGAATGAATTTAAAAGATCCTTTAGAGCCATACTTCTCTGCAAAGAAACCACTATTGCATACTTAACGGCAATACCTTAAGTTTTTTTCCCCCACATTTTATTTTGAAACTTTTCATAATGCAATGACAAGAATCAACAAAAACAGCCAGGCCAACTTTGACATGTGCAGAGAAAAAAGGAAAGAGAGAAAACAAAACAGATTTAAAAAAGGACAATAGAAATAAAATGAAAAAATATGTACATATATATAAAAAAACAACTAACAAAAGTGATTATGCATGGAGGCTAATGTGTGCCATATTACCACAATTAAAATTTTGTGGAACAAAAAGAAGTGGTTTATTAAAATATATAAATTGTTATCTATATTGTTATCTATAAATAACATTTTATGAAGTTCCTGATGATGCTAGTCAGAAAGCTATTTTGTATTTTAAAAAGTTATAAATTATAACATTTTAATTAAAAATACCAAATGGTTTTAAAAATACTTCTTTATGGGGCGCCCAGTTAGCTCAGTGGGTAGAGCTGGCGACCCATGTACCAAGGATGAGTACTTGCTGTAGCGGCCCAGGGCTCGAATCCGACCTGCGGCCCTTAGCTGCGTGTCATTCCCCCTCTCTGCCCCCCTTAATAAAAAAAAAAATATATATATATATATATATATAAAATACTTCTTTAAATCTAACACATTTTACTTATGTAGCACACTCCAGACAAATGGTTGTGTAACTCTCCATTCTCTTGATTCTTGTGACACCGTGAAATATAAAACATGAAATGCATTAGTTCTGCTGACTCGGGTTATAAAAGTGGCTCAGTGTTCATCCTTCTTTAAAAGCAGTAGGCTCTTGTCCTCTCATTTCACATTGACTGCAATCCTCATTTCAGACCCACTTTTTTACCTTTCTGTGATCATCTGATCATCAGAGAAAATTTGACAGGATGCAAGACATTTATTCTACAAACCCCAGGACTTTGGGCCGGGCCATCTGTATCATCACAGGAGCCTCCAGGGGATTCGGACGGGCGCTGGCACAAGAAGTAAGTGATCAACTTGTAGAAAAAAGTAATATAAGATAAAAAGACAAGCAAACAAACAAATATCTTGTCATCCAGGTGTCCTACTTTTTGAAGCCTGGGTCTGTCCTCCTGCTGGTGGCTCGCTCGAACACTATGCTGCAAGAGTTGAAGGAAGAGCTGCAGAGTTGGACGGAGGAACAGCAGCTCGTGGTTCACTGCATAGCTGTTGATCTGAGCACGAGAGAGGGTGTGCATGAAACAGTCAGGGTGGCAAGGCAGGAAGCTATAAATGAAATGGATCATGTGCTTCTTATCAACAATGCTGGTTAGTCACAAAATCTATAACCAAGTAGCCTACTCAATGCTGATTTTGTATGCTGAACTCTCATGTCTTCATCTCATGTTAATAATGTCTCTTTGTTGTATTACCTTTCCACCTCCTTCCTCACACCAACCCATCCCTTCTCTCTCTGCTTCCAGGCTCTTTGGGTGACATTTCCCACTTTGCGAGTTTCACCAACCTTGATGAGGTGAATTCCTATCTGTCCCTCAACGTTAGCTCTGCTCTCGCACTGACTGCAGGAATACTGCAGGTATTTCCATGCAGACCGGGCCTGCAATGGAGTGTGGTGAACGTCTCGTCAGTGTTTGCAATGCAGGCCTTACCGTCCTGGGTGCTGTACTGCACTGCCAAAGCAGCAAGAAAAATGATGTTCGGGGTGCTGGCTGAGGAGGAGCCAAATGTCAAAGTCCTCAGCTACTCTCCAGGTACATACAGCTTTATATATTGCCCATTGTTCTGACGTCCCATTATTCTGAAACCCATTATTCTGAAATCCCAACACCGTTTGTTTTCAGAATAATGGGCTATTGGACAAATGGGCTTTCAATCCAATCAGACTATTGGGGTTTCAGAATAATGGGCTGTTGGAACAATGGCATGTAACCGACTAGGAGTTTATTAACAGAGAAACTTGTGTCATTGTAAAGCAATACTGTGACAAAGATCCTATGACACAATGTGTATTGAATATATGTATGCATTTCATAGATTTTTAACACAGATAATGAATATTAATCAAGATCACTTTAAATGTGCCAGTGTTGCCAAAATGCTCTGATGTTGTCCCATGGTCAAATGTTGGATTAGCCATAAAAATACAGTACAGTGATGCTTGTGAATCAAATCTGGAATTGTACTTGTGATGGCCCCATACATGCACATGCAAACGTGGAAACATAAAATATTGGTATTTCACATAAAACAAATCACTTACCTGGAAGCCAGAACATAGAACACAGAACAAAAGAAACTGATAGGATGTACTATATCTCCATCTTTAACCATCAAGTATGCATGTAATATATTAGCACAAAAGGCAACATATGACTTTTTTTTTAACCCTCTAATCCTTCTGGTTTCCCTCAGGTCCTATGGACACAGATATGCAGATTGATATTCAGAGATTAACAGGTGCCAAACACCATCTGTTACCCTGCCAGGAATCTGCAGCCAAACTGATGAAGCTACTTCTGGACAACAATTTCCCGTCAGGGAAACACCTCGACTTCCTTGAAGTGTGATATTAATATTAATATGAGACAGAATTTTTTTTTAACTTTAAAAAAAGTTAATTTTTGCATGTGACTCCCTTGCTTATTCTAGGTAGAAAGAGTTAAGAACACATATACATGAAGTAAAAACATACAGTAGCTAAAGGTGTTTTGGTGATTTTTTATTCTTACAGTATATAGAATCCATTAACATGTTGGCCTTTATAAATGTCTATGAGTCTTTATAAGTCTCTGTCTGAAGGCCTCATTGCCTGTTATTTGTTCTTTTGTTATCAAGGCAGATTTATTTATCAGAATTGCACTTGGATCTGTTGTTGTGTGTGTCGATTTGTAAATTACAGTCACTCTTTCATGTTTTGTGTTTTTTTATTTTTCTAAATGTAAGAATCAATGTATAGCCCAATTAAATACATTTCAATTATTTAAAACCTGTTGCTTTTGCTATTTATTTCAGTTCTTCTGTTCATTGTACATTGTACTACATCATTGTACTACAAACTATCTATAAATGAAACTGCATTAATTTTTAAATATATAAATATGATTCTGTATCTGAAAGGATTTAAACAAACGCTAATCTCTAATACTTGGTCTGTGAAATACTGTCATACATGCCAAGCAGAAAAGGTGTGGATACAAGTGTATGAGGGATGTTAAGTGTGTATATGCATTATGTATTTCTATGTATTTATGTTTGTCCATCCTTCTTTGTAGCACACTGTGGGGACCCAAATCTGGTAGTCCACTCATGTTGTGGGGTCTGACTTCCCTTCTGGGGACCCAATGGTTTCCCTACAGTGTGTGAAAGATATGATGTTCTGTTATGTCATAACTTTGATTCACAGAAAGAGAGAGAGTAAGTTAGAGAAAGCACCAGAAAAGGGTAGAGACGGTGAGATAGATCAGCTCTGTTCCTGTCAAACTTCTCGCAGCTGTCCAGCATCACCACAGGCTACTGACAGCAGCAACTGATGGCCAAAAATAACCCTCAGGGACCCGGGCACCTACCAATTCATGGTCGGGGGTGGGGGAATTTCTGCAAGTTAACAGGACAAAAAGCAAAAAGTTTGACCACAACTTTAGATAAACAATTTTTTTTTTTGAGAAAGAGCAACATGAGTTTCAGTTGTGTTACTTTCAGACAGGTTTGATAGTTTAAGTGACAAGATATTCAAGATATTTTGTTTCTCAGTGGACTAATGAGACAAATCACCAGTAACCCATTTTTTTTGTCTGGTGGTACAGTTCAAGAGATGGACGGCTATTTTAGTACCTCTGGTGTGGAATGTGCAGTTGTCACTGAACACAGAGGGCACAGATTGGTCTACACGTTCCTCAACTACCCTATCCCTGTATTTAGCTTCTCCCTACCACTGAAACACTCTTCATTCATCTGTTCCACCGCTCACCAGGATCAGCTACCATGGAGAACGTGGCAATATTTGACTCACCTGGAAAGGGGAGGGGTCTGAAGGCTACCAAGGAGTTTTGGGCAGGAGATGTAATTTTTTCTGAGCCCAGTCTCTCAGCTGTTGTGTTTGACAGGTACAGTAATGATGGAAATTGTGGATGTGGACACTCAGTGGCGGGGGGATGTGTTCAGATGTGATCATCATGGGGATATCTGGGCTGTTGAACAATATATTTTCCGTCTTTTTTTTCTAGATTTTGAATTTTTCTACAATAGATAGACCATAGAGTTTGATTTTACTGTGGTCTGATAATAACGATGCTGTATTCTTACTATATGTTACTTTGTCATAACAACTGTGCCTCTTTCCATCTTCGCCAGTTCATCTTCATAAAACTAAATGACAATAACCTAATCTGGAACAATCAGAAACAAAATTCCCCCTGTGAAGACTGTAATTGTGAAAAATTTGATAGAACAAATGTGTATCTTTTGGAAAATAATGACATTATGACATTTAAGGGATCTTTTGAAAATATCTTGAAAATGGCTTATACAGAAGTTGTTCTGTATGGCAACATTACAGGGTGTAAAATCCAAGAAATTGTAGGTGTAATACTGAATATTTTAAAATGTGTTTTCAAATAACATGACAGGTCAGAATTGACTGCCTACTGTCTACTGTTTCTACTGTTTACAACAGACTAGCTCTTTCAAACTACTTCAATTCACTGATAAAAATTGTGAGACTGTATGGGAACAATACGTTGAGAATATTTTGTCATGATATGTGAAGGAAAGAATTAACTTAATGCACATTTGAAAGATTGTCTTTAAGATCGTAGAACTAGATTAAAAAAAGGAGGAAAATAATTTTCTATAACATCATCACCACTAGTAAGGTAAAACCAACATGCTTACAGTAACTCTTCCTTTGACAACTGTCTCTTAGACTATTATATCTACAATATGCATGTGCTGTAATTTATGGATCGTAATATCTTTCTCCTTCTGCAGTCTAGCAGAGCGTATTTGCCACAGCTGTTTCCGCAGACAAGAGAAGCTACAGAGGTGCGGCCAGTGCAAATTTGCTCATTATTGTGACCGAACCTGCCAGCGGGCCGGCTGGGCTGAACACAAGCAAGAATGTGCTGCCATCAAAACTTATGGCAAAGTACCAAACGAGAACATCCGGTAAGTAGAAGGAAATGGAAGTAGGGAGTGATAGAAAGGTGTTGATGATACATGATACTTGGTTTTAGATTCTTTTTTTTGATGAAACACAGGTAAAGACTTTTGGTTTTTCTCTGTATGGGGTGCTTTCTACAGTCCACTATTGGTAATCCATCCTACTAAATCAGAAAAAAAAGAGAATTTTCATGAATGTATAGAGCCACATTTAATCAAGTGAGTTACTGGGGAAATATTTTTTTTATCTTGTATGTGTAATGTTTATTTCTAAGTTGCATCAGTTTTGTCTTCATTATTTTTAACACAAAAACACAGGCATGTGTGTTCTGTACAGACAGTTAGTGTCACTGTAAGTTCTTCAGCTACTGTAAGTCCTGAGATAATGCGTATTAAATTTTCTTTTAACCTTTGAAGTTCTCTGTCTTTCCCTTCACTGTTCTTTTTTGTGGTCAGTTTGGTGGCCCGCATCATGTGGCGTCTTGACAAGGAGGGGGGTGTGGTGTCTGACACACAGCTGACCACATTGGAGGAACTGGAGGACCACATTGCTGACATGCAAGAGGATGAGCTGAAGGAGTTCAAAGTGGACATCCACAACTTCCTGGACTATTGGCCACGTAACAGCAAGCAGCACACAATTGACATCATCTCACATATGTTTGGAGTGGTGAGTTGCGTTGAGTTGTGTTATGTCTTTGTTGGCCAACTCACATTTCCTATGGTGTGACTAAAACTTTGAAATCAGGGCATTTTTTCCTCAAAGGATGGGAAGATAGTGAGCATAACCGGAACCAGACCAAAACGAATGTGTTCAGTCATCCCTGTCAACTCATAAAATCAAATATTTTCATTTTTACCATCAGAAACAAAGCTGTAAATAACAGTAGTAAACTCAGACATGAAGGAACATGCCTGAGTTTACAGCACAGGTTGTGCCATTTACTTTTAAAACTTAATGAACAGCTGGCACACAGTGTACCAGGTTAATGATAAATGTTAAATAGTCACATTATTTATCTCTGAAATGTTGTGCTTAACAACATGTCCAGGCAGCTATAACAACAGTGGAACTTGCAGTGCAGATCATTTGATGTGTGGCGACACCCCGGTGAACATGAAGTTATCAGGTGATATATGAAATGATATCTGATATATGATTTGATAAGAACTGCCCAAATGAACATTTCAACCTACCAAGGGTAGTAAATTTAAGATCTACTGCCTCTGCGTTCATATCCTGTTTATCTTTTGGAGAGCAGTCAGATTTGCCTTGTGACTCTATCTACAACAATTGTGACTAGATAAAGCCACATTGTTTATTTTGTACAGAACTTAAAAAGCAGATTTCTCTGATAAACTCATCCTCTTTTTCTCAGCTCTGTGTTCACATGAATATGCCCCCTCTTTCTCCCAGGTTAACTGTAACGGTTTCACTGTGAGCGACCAGAGGGGCCTTCAGGCAGTAGGAGTTGGGCTTTTCCCAAATTTGTGTCTAGTGAATCATGACTGCTGGCCAAACTGCACGGTGATCCTCAACCATGGAAAGTAAGTTAAACACAAATAAAAACTTTAGTTAAAAGTGCTCTTCAGTGATGGTTTTAATGTGAAAAAAAAAGTAAAATGCTTGATGTTTTCTGAGTTTTTTGTGTGTGTGTTTACGTGCTGTTGTGTATTATGTATGAATGTGTGTGTGTGTG